TACATGTAAAGTTTCACAGATCGGCTTTCCAGTCTAAGGGAGACAAATCATATAAAATAGACAACAGAAAAATATGTGTTCATTCATCTCTACACTTTCGAGGTGAAGCTTGGTGGACTAGTTTATTATAAAGATAGACTGACTAACTTCTTCATTTGGCACCGTGTTGCAAATTTCACTTGCAAAAAAGGTTTAGCAAGGAAAATATTCTGACCTAGTGGTAAACATTAATAAAATATTCACTGTCGAGACGAAAACGGTGTGGAAGCTTCAATACTTGCCGTGTTTCATACACGCTCATACCGCGCTCAGGGCGACCTAAGCTTTTGTTCTCAGAACAATCACAAACGGCTTGTGAACACATTACAGTTTATATCTGAATTTAATCAAATTTGGTGTGATAACTTATATTCATCTTGATCAAATTAGAATATGAAGATTTTTAGACAAACGGTTTTTGAGTTATTGAGTAAAAATGCATCAACAGCTGGTTTACTTTGGACTTCATTACCACAAACTTTAAAACATAATCCTTCTATATATACATTTTAACAACACACGAGGAAGTTTGTTCTTATTGACAATAATGATTAATTTGACGGTTTGGGTACATATTTCTTTCCTCATCCAGTGTAAATGTATATAAGTTTTATGTGATTTTTTCTGTGAGTTTATTCTTTATGTAATTTTGTATATAATGTGTAATTCGGTGGGAACTATTGTAAATTAGACTTTTGTCTAATTGTGTTGCCAAAATAAAGTTATTATTATTATGAACGAGCTACAAACGAACCCGGTCGGTGTGCTCACTTACTACCAATTGACGCTGATAGTACGATCCAAGTACGGCAATTGATAGTAAGTCGATGCCGTTTTAAGTACATTGTTACTCCGTCTAATTACAGAACGTTCAAACCCGTCCGAGCTCTTCCATGAAGTTTGTAACCAGAAGTTAAAATGTCCACTCCTGTTTGCACACAGTTTGAGCCCTTTGGCCATTTTTTTTATCAGAACGCAGTGAGAGCGAGTTCGGTGTAAAGGGGTTATTTACACGCTCTGGGCAAATTTTCTGTGCCGTATCAGTTCAGTAAGGACATCCTTCTGGTGTGACGGGAGTATTAGACATGTTCAAAGGACCGAGAAGGTCGTTAGACAAAAGTAGTAAAATCTCCACTAACTCAATAAAATTGTATCACACGCGTGGCATTGACGACTTACAAAAACGGTAAAAAGCGACGTCCTTACCGCGAACCTCGAGTTCTGACACGACACTTTCGGAGTCCTTATAGGTTTTATGAGGGACAGAAAACGTGCAAATGTCTTGGTCACTATTTCTATATATGCCCTGTCTATATATCACTGAGTATCTTAAATTGATGAGTCATCATTTGAACATTCAAACGCAGATAATTCTGCACACACATGGATTAGAATGCTTAATTTCGACGGTGAGCTGTGAACACTATAACTGTTAAGCTCAGTTAAAAAAATCAGTTTCTGAGACTAAAGTATGATCATAACATGTAATTTAAATCAAGATCCCCACCTCCGTCTCTGATAGGGTAGAATAAATCTTGACTGCAAGTAATAAAGAGCAAATAAACATGAGTTAATAGGATCAGATCTACTGAGTTACATATACTGAAAAGAGAATAAAACAAGTATGAAACTGAAAGACTGAATCCCGTTTTTAGAAAAATCTGGTTGGAATTCAAAGAGTATGAATGGTGCGTAGCTAATACAATACCTAAAGAAAAACCTTTATTTTTTATTGTTCCAGCGAATCATACCAAGTTTCCGAATATATTAATTATTTTCTACTGCCATTGGCATGTAAACACCCATCTTACCTGAAAGACACTACCGATTCTATTGTAAAGATTATAAAATTGTACATTCCTGACAACGCGCTATTTAGATGTATGTATGTATACGAACATAGAAACATGGTTTAGGGCATGGTTATATTATGAAGCGGGCCAGTCCGGTGAGCCGAACTGGTTCGGTTTGCGGGGTAACTCGGGTCTGACGTCACTTCGTCAATCTAGGGATTTATTCAAATGTATTTATATGGAAGGCGTGCTAGCCCGGCTATCAGGACCAGTCTGGTATTGGTCTCAGAAATAAGAAAAGCAGTACAATATTTGAGATGTCAGACGTTCTTTCTTGTATAAAAATGTAATCTGCATAATTTCTTGTAAAAAATGCGATGTTCAATATGTTTGGTGAAACCCAAAATGCGTGGCGTACTCGTTTTAGCCGCCATCAATACACTTCGTATGAAAGATAGACCAATTGCGAATCATTTCAACCTATACAATCATTCTATTGAAGATATTCTTGTCTTGCCAGTTGAAAAAGTTCCTGATTATAGTATACCTACTGTTAAACCCAAAACTAATCGATTGCAGAGAGTGAGTTTCTGGATCGATCAATTTCGAAACCGTTGTGCCTGTGGTCTGAATATCCAGCATGGCAATTAAATCATACTATTTATTGTAACCTATAATCCCACTGCCAAAAATGCTTTTCTGATTGCCAAACGATATAACAAGGAACTTCAAGATCACTTTCCGAGTATTTTCACTAAGGGATTGGTTACTGCTTTTAAAAGAAACAAAAATCTAAGTAATTTACTTGTCCAATGACCCCAATCCATTAACTCTCTGAAACAATAACATAATGTGTTCCAAACCTTATTTTTGTTTTTTATTTGTAAGCATTGTTTATTTCAGTCTTTTCAGAAGTTACATTGTTGTAATTTCATTATGCTATGTACACAGCACAGAACATTTATAGTTAATTTTAATTTAATCTTGTATTACTCAAGTTAATAATTGTGAGTTCGACGCTTGCTCATTAAAGAAAGAAATTGTTGTGTGCTTTTTTTATACATCTTACTATAGTTAAAATAAATATATTCAACAGCTCAAATTTTTAATTTGTGTTCAAAATTATTTTTTATTAATCGCGAAACCGGATGTGTCGTAGAGTGAGCTCTAGAACAATAACAAACATGGTGTCAGCCTATGATTCTGATACAAGTTTACCGAGAGAAGATGAATAATATCATGATTGTAGTGTTCAGCCATACAGATTTGAGCCTGTTTATACTCTTGAACAACTCTTAGATAGGAAGCAAATGGAATCTAACAGAAAAGAGATGAAGAGTGGCGATCAGGAGACAAACTTATTCAATAGAAACGAGGATACAGTTTGGTGTACTTGTAGCAAGTGTCCGGTAGTGCCGAGAGAGACACAGGCACAAGGCACAGGAAATGGTAGATAAGTTTGATCCTGACCCCAAATCTTGCATATACTGACTTAGACACTAAAATTCTGGAGTATTTTGAGCTTGAAAGGGGTGAAGATTACCAACAGAAGTGTGTTTGCACCCAGATTTTTTGCCACATATCAACAAGGGAGTACTGAACACATATTTTCGAAGCCACAAGTACAACTGGGAAAAGTTTCCAAAGCCAAGAGACCCACATAAACTCAAAAAATGGAAAAATTAACCTTGGTGAAAATTAAAGGTTTTAATTACAAATTACAGGAATTATCACCTAATTATCACCTATGTGAAAATTAATATTTTTAATTCAAAATTAAAAGTGAAATATGTCGTATGTGTGCCGCCGTAATAGTAAGATTTATAAAAAAAATCACACAACAATTTCTGGAGGTTCGTGGTTCACGGTATAGGTCGAGATAATTCTTTCTTTTTAACCCGGTTTCCCCCTGTCAGTGATGCAGGTAAGAGAGGCTGAAGTGGAGAAGAGTTGTTCGGATGGGACAATAAACCGAGGCCCCATGTGCTGCAGGCTGTGCTCGTTAAAGATCCCTCGACAGTTGGAAATCGAAAAGGAGTAGGCTTAATATGCCACTGCCCTGTCCTTTTCGCCTTCATTAGCCTACATGGTGCAGAAAATTAGGACGTAAAACTCCATTCATGTCATTTTCAAATTTTTAAAGAGGGGTTGACATGGAAAAAGCGTCTTAACGTTCGGATGGGATAATAAAGAGACCCCGTGTGCTGCAGGTCGGGCACATTAAAGATCCCTCGACAGTTGGAAATCGAAAGAGAGTAGGCTCAATATGGCACTATCCTGTGATGTCCGTCTTCATTAGCCTACATGGTGCAGAAAATTAGGACGTAAAACTCATTTCATTTTCAAATTGATAATTGATGTAATAGAAGTATGTTCTCTTCTTGTGACCTTGGCCAGTGCTTCTATAGGAGAGTATCTTCTAAAAAACCAAACACTAGATATCTATCTTTATTCTCTTATATACAACACATAATAATACATGATATAACTGCTGAAGATATAATACACTAACATAATAAATCTTGCTGAGTTAAACGATTTTTGGCTGTTATTCGAAAACATCGAGTAATTCAAAAATTCAACTGTGTTTAGAATATTACAGTGGGTCTTGAAATACGAATACGTAAGATAAAATTTAATGAAAACCTTCAAGATTTGGTAGTCCAGATACTTAAAGAGATGGAAAACATTGTTGCTGTCAAATAAGTATAACAAATTTTATATCAAGAAGTTAAAGGTGAGACAATTTATTTTATCTTTTTATCAAAACTCAAGACTGACTGAATTAATGAATTTCGGGGCATAACTTAAATGAATGACCTCTATACAATCTAGAAGCAAAACACAGACAATATATATGTAATACACTAAATATTAATATTAATTAGTAAAGTAAACTTATAACAACAATTACACGTTTAGTTCGAGTGAAGTGAAGTTACTTATATGTTGAAAATTATTGTTCGATTTTATATTTAATATGTAATAAATTCACTAGTTGTCACTGTGTTTTACTTACTCACTGTGTTGTACAGTCAATTTGTAGTACGAAGACTGAAATGTACTGAAATTGGGTTCTATAAGCAGTGTGAGCAATTATTTTCTCAATAAATTGAATATAAATTAAACCATATGGTGGTTGACCAAAGCTTTTACACTTTGAAATAATTATGTCAAAATAACATCTTTTACATTTTCTGACTCAATGGGATCCTCTTCTGGCTTTACTGATACTTGTGGTTCAACTTTCTTCTTGACAGTAGAAATGGATTTTAAATTGGATGATCTATAACAGGAATTTTGAGTGCGACGACTTCCACAACAAATCATCCCGGCGAACGCTTGTCTGAAAGTCATGTTAGCTACGGCGTAGATGAAGAAGTTCATTCCTGAGTTGAGTAGCGCGGGAAGTAAACAGATATCGACAATACCATTGGGTAAACCAACAATCTGACCAAGTATGACTGATGTAAAACCTGGTGTCATACAGATGAAAAATACACCAAATACAGTCAAAAACATCTTCACCAATTTCATATTGTTGTTATGTAGTTTAGCATCAACGATAGCCAACTGTTTATTACGATTTTTGATATGCTGTCTCGATATGTAGAAAATATAGGAGTAGCATATGACGTTTACACTACAGAATGCAACAAATACGATAGGCTGTAAGTATACGTGAAAATAAAACGGTACAGTTTTAAATAAATAGCAGCCTGTCTCTACTTTATAGTTATTAGAATGAAGTGGAATGGTGCCAAACAATATAGCTGTAATCCAGGTGATGAATATCAGAATTCTGGTTCTCTTCATGGAAGCTGTAGTTTTATATTTCAACGGAGACCCAATACATACTGCTCTATCAATAGCAATAGCTGTAATTGTCTGGATGGTTTGTCCAAGTGAAACATAGAAGGCACAGTGACGTCCTAAACACAGGTACTTATTCTTATCAAAGATTTCCTGGACTCCTGGAAAATGCAGAGCTACCTGATACGGTAGAATTAAACCGACCAGTAAATCGGCGCATGCCAGAGACATGATATATTGGTTAGGTACGGTTTGAAGTCTTGGTGTTTTCCAGATAGCAGTAAATGTTAAGGTGTTTCCAGCACAGATGATGAACATTATCAGCATTTCAATGCAAACAATGATGATAGAATGTGTTGTTATACTTCCAGATAGTTTGGTGGTATTGCCGGAAATAATCCCTATGGTACAGTTGTCAATGCAGGTCGTGTTATTCATCTTCGTAGAATCCAAAATAGTAAATGTTCCAAGTTACGATTATATTTGAAGTAATATTTCTCAAAAACAAAACAAATCTATATAGCGTTCCTCCCAAACCATGTAAACCACAAAAGAGCTATCTGTAATTACAGTTGCCTGCTTTGTAATGTACAGCAATGCCCCATTATCAAGTAACAGGTATTTATATACTGAACAGTCACTTCTTGTTAACCAATCCGATTGGATGTTCACAAAATTTATTAACATCAATGATTAATCTGTAATAACCTATATCATTACTTATTCCTATTAGAAATCCTGTTATTAATATAAGTCCGTCCCATTATATACATTTCCTTTTCATTGTTGTCTTTCTTTTACTTCTTTATATTTAATCTCAAAAGCCGTCTGAAAAATATAAAAAAAACATAAGGTTTCGATTCCTTCTAATATTGAATTACTTTTTATAAAAGAAAATCGATCGATTTTAAAATTTACACTGCTGATTCTAAGTCATTCCAAACTTCTTTTTGACATATACCTTGCATTACACATTAAGTTTATTTATATTCAGTACTTTGTAAAATAATTTAGGTCTTTTAATGAGGTTGTTTCATCATTAATTAGCTCTATTGTTCACCATTGTCAGCAGCATTTTCCTGCTTTCTGTACAGCAGCATTTATGAAATGTGAATCACGCTATGGTAATATATTGTTAGATCAGTTAACATTTCAGAGATCTTGATAAAGATATATTTGTCACCCACTTAATTCGAGGTTTCTTTCATAAACTTTAAACAAGTCTTCTTCAATTTAAACAAAAATAAACCAGCCAGTATTCTATCATCGCCGGTGTTATTCCGCCAAGTCGAAGAAAGTCCTATCCATCAACAATAGTTTGGAGTTTGCTGTCAACCAATTATGTCTAAGTATAACACATTGAATATATAAAATATTATCCCCCACAAGAGCACAATTTGACATTATTAATCCTGATAATCCACAAATTAGAGATTAGTTCATCCTAGTAATGTCCAAAACCTATTAGGTTTGCTCAGCTTAGTGACTTAAATCCTTTTGGGAGATTTTGGCTCGGTGTCAACCATCAACCATTTCAGTTTTATGATATGACTGTAATTTAAAAACATTGATACATATTCATTAAATATAAAATCTCGTTAGACAGAATATATAATGTGATCAAATCAATTTCTCATACACTGTCACAAATATTTTATGTTCATATTATCTCAGTTCGAAATCAGAAATTACTCTTTGTACCCCACATTCTTAGAAAACATTATACTATATAATTTACTCTGATGCATAAACCTTCTCCAAACCAGATGTTGTTGTTAGTTTAACATCTATATAAAATTGTTTCATGATAATGTAAATAGCTAGCCACTATGAATCGGTGTTAAAGATAATTATAGTTTAATTAACTGTATTACACTCTCCTCTTTTGGATGAAATGATGCTTGATGATTTTCAAAATCAAATCAATGGAAAAATGTTATTTTACAATTAAAAACAATAAAAAATATAAATAAATGAATGAAGTCAGAAGGAATATTTTGATATTTATCTATGCAACAACAAGGGAATGAACGTAGCCTATACGCTCTCTGAACTGTCTACCAAGAGGAGTTAATCGTTATATAATACTGTATTATAATAATATCAGAATACTTTCACTGTTAACATAGTGCGCAATACATTAATTGTAGAGCGATATAGAAATATTAAAACAGTTCTACTTCCAACTTCAGTAGGGAGACAGGCTGAAAATAGATCGCATAGCGTGAAACGGCAGTGGCTATTTACCACTGGCGTGGTAAGCGTGGTAAATATCCATAAGTACCCTTACAGCTGTTTACCACAGCGTGGTAAATAAAATTAGTCATGATTTTCGGCAAAAATTGCTTAAAACTACCTAAATATTCAATATAACGATTTTGAATTCAAAAACTCATCATGTTCATCAAAAATTCGCTTTTTGAATAAAAAATGTCGTGTTTGTTTACAAATAAATGTGAAGGCCGACTTTGAAGAGTTCACGGTTCAAGGCTGAATACTTCTCAATTCAAACCTATATATCTAAAAAGTTTCGCGTTGTATGAAATTTAGTGTACATTCATTTGTTCTTTCGGCAATAGATTTGAATCACAAATTAGTCAAAATTTACTTTTAATCTTGTTAATGAATTGGAAAGCAGGCTTATTACATGTATATCTATTCAAAATCAATTCAGGGCTATTCTTCCCCTAATGATCGTAAGGGTATTTTGTTCGAGAATAATTTTTGAAAATAAATTCCTGCATTTTATGCAATTTGTCTTCTAATATTACTACTTTTTTTCAAGTAACTACAGTGGCATATTTAGAGGGTTAGAGGGTAGTGCCCTCTAAAAGCCAAAAATGGGGCAAAGGTGCCCCTTACTCCCGTCAATGAAATCTTGGCTACGCCACTGAGTAAGTAATGTATATTTCCACAAAAATTGTAATTTTGGGTCCTATCGGTGTTAGGGTGATTTGAGAATAAAAATCCCATAAAAGTGCAGGCCTAGGTAATGAAGTTAGAATTTTATATTTATCTCAGTGCTTTCATTCATTCCTTTTCCAATTTGTAGACCAGAAACTTGCCTTCACTAACACATGTTGTTTCTCCAAACGATTCTATATTCCTTAAAGTGTCCAGAATTAACATGAACTTCGAAACAAAGAACTAAATCATGTAAAAACCGCGAAAATTCCTTAAAATTCTCAAGAAAGTGGAAACATGGCCCACTTTTCAACTCGATTCATGCAGCATTGAACAATTTTATTGCAACCAGGACAAATATTTTTTGTTAAAGGGACAATTTTTTAACCAATCATACTTTAGTCTCAGTAACGGGATTTTTTGTTAGCTTAGCCAATTAGTAAAGCCCAACGCAGACGAGGAACATTTTAAGCGAACAATCGTAAAAATTTTGTTTCGATCATTTTTTTCACCGTCTGCGGATTACAGAAACACGAACAAAAATGTTCGTGAGAATTGTTCGTGAAATCAAACATGTTTGATTTTTTAAAATTGTTCGCCTCCCGAACAATTCTTTGTTCGCCGTCTGCGTTAACGACGAACATTAGCGCCGAACATTCATCGACGAAAGACCAATCAGCGATAAAAGCCAGACCACATGACACTCAAAATGGCGAGGTTTAGTGAATCCACCAACACAAAATTTTGGAATGTGGAGAAGGAGCAGATTTTAGTAGATATGTGGTCGTAATCTGCCTGTTTGTTTATGATTTCTTCGCCCGACTATTCAGATAGGAACAAGAAGTACGCTGCGATGCAAGAAATAGCACAAGCCCTGGAAACAACCGGTAAATTTACCTTCTTTCGCCCGAACTCGTGTGACTGTAGTGTATTCTGTGCCAACATCGATATCAACTTAAAATCTTTAGACTTCCAATAAAGGGAGATATTTTTCAATAACGCAATTTTACATTTTCTTCTGGACGTCGCCATTTTGAGGTCATGTGATTTTCCGTTGCACTGGCGTATTGTTTGAGCTAAATGTACGTCGTCTGCGGAATTATGTTTGTCGTCTGCGGATAACGGAAAACAAATATATTTGTTCGATGTTTTTGTTCGTCGATAGAACTATTCCTAGTCTGTTTTGGGCTTAATAGTGTTCACAGCTCACTGTCAAAATTTGAGCCTTCAAACTCACGTGTGTCCAGAATTATCCGTGTTTGAAACTAGTATGAGGTCAGTAATGATACAGGATATTGATACTGTTTGACTGTAGTATATTAGTAGACTTTAGTAATGATACATATAATAATACTTTTTGATTGTAGTATGTAGTCTAGGTCAGTAATGATACATACATTGATAGTGCTTGATTAGTATGTTGTCAAAGTCAGTAAAAAATACAGATATTGATAGTGTTTAACTTTAGTATGTTGTCTAGGTCAGTAATGATGCAGATATTGATAATGTTTGACTGTAGTATGTAGTCTAGGTCAGTAATGATACAGATGTTGATAGTGTTTGTAGTATGTTGCCTAGGTCAGTAATGTTACAGATATTGATAGTGTTTGACTGTAGTATGTTGTCTAGGTCAGTACTAATGCAGATATTGAAAGTGTTTGACTGTAGTATGTAGTAGAGATCAGTGATGATACAGATATTGGCTGTGTTTAACTGTAGTGTGTAGTAGAGGTTAGTGATGATACAGATATTGATAGTGTGTGACTGTAGTATGTTGTCTAGGTCAGTACTAATGCAGATATTGAAAGTGTTTGACTGTAGTATGTAGTAGAGATCAGTGATGTTACAGATATTGGCTGTGTTTAACTGTAGTGTAGTAGAGGTCAGTAACGATACAGATATTGATAGTGTTTGACTGTATTATGTTGTCTAGGTCAGTACTAATGCAGATATTGATAGTGTTTGACTGTAGTATGTTGTCTAGGTCAGTACTAATGCAGATATTGATAGTGTTTGACTGTAGTATGTTGTCTAGGTCCGTACTAATGCAGATATTGAAAGTGTTTGACTGTAGTATGTAGTAGAGATCAGTGATGATACAGATATTGGCTGTGTTTAACTGTAGTGTGTAGTAGAGGTTAGTGATGATACAGATATTGATAGTGTGTGACTGTTGTATGTTGTCTAGGTCAGTACTAATGCAGATATTGAAAGTGTTTGACTGTAGTATGTAGTAGAGATCAGTGATGATATAGATATTGGCTGTGTTTAACTGTAGTGTGTAGTAGAGGTTAGTGATGATACAGATATTGATAGTGTGTGACTGTAGTATGTTGTCTAGGTCAGTGCTAATGCAGATATTGATAGTGTTTGACTGTAGTATGTTGTTTAGGTCAGTACTAATGCAGATATTGAAAGTGTTTGACTGTAGTATGTAGTAGAGATCAGTGATGATACAGATATTGGCTGTGTTTAAATGTAGTGTGTAGTAGAGGTTAGTGATGATATAGATATTGATAGTGTGTGACTGTAGT